CCCCCATTGTTACACCATTTCATCATTGCATTTAATAAATTATATATTTATTGACTCACTTACCTTTTCACTCGGAACACCATCCTACGTTCTTCTCTGTACTCTATATATGTATATACCACGCTTGTCCTTCCTTCTTTCCTCCTTTTACTTTGTGCTTTTTTTCGACGACGCTTTCATGGAGCAAATTTCGTACCATTGATAAATCGCTCTTCGGCAACAATTTATTTAAAGCATACAAACGGTACAAACAATGTGCCACTTTGAGTAAAAATTAATAATTAAGTTACTTGGTGATTATTATAGCAAGCGAGCGCGATTGTGCGCCAGATTATCGGAGTTAATGAGAACTTTCTTGAGTCTCGCGAGTTCGTCGTCGACGCGGCTATGCTTTTCTTTGTTACCTCGACAAGAAAAAAAAAAAAAAAAAAAAACAAAAAAAAAAAAAAAGAAATAAAAATACAAAATAGAAGAAAGAAAAACAGTAGAAATAGAACGACAGACAATTCTCTAATCGCAATTCAGATCCACGTCTCATCGGGAGACCCTGCTACGTTATTCATCAGAATACTTGAACCCGATGATTCTCACGATCGCAGACCACGATGTTACCGGCGGAGGTGACGGCGACGCCCTCGAGACCTTTGAACTCGCCGTCGCCGCTTCCCCACCCACCAAAGGCCTTGAGGAAGGCACCCTCTGGCGTGAATATTTGGATACGATTGTTACCGGAATCCGCGACAATTATGTATCCTTGATCGTCAACCGCTACACCCCTTGGGAACTTGAATTGACCTTCGTCCGAGCCTTCCGAGCCGAAGGAGGTCAGGACCCTTCCGTTCACGTCGAATATTTGAACCCGGTGATTATTTCCGTCACTCACTATCACTCGATTGGTATTGCTCACGGCAATGTAATGGGGATGTTCCAATTGACCCCTTCCACTTCCGCAGCAACCAAATTTACCCACGAATGTACCATCCGATTGGAATACCTGATTGGAAGGATTATTTATTATTAAATCTTTATGGTTTTATATGTAGGACTAATTTTTAAAATCGTCCCCCAATTACCTGCACCCGATGATTTTCTTTGTCGCAGACGTAAATGAATCCGAGGGCGTCGGTCGTTATGCCCCAAGGATAATTGAACCTTCCGTCCGTGGTACCTTGAGAACCAAAGGCTCTAAGGAACCTTCCAGAAGGATCTAGAACCTGGATCCGGTGATTGTAACGATCCGCTATTATAAACTGACCAATCCTGTTAACTGCCACTCCTGCCAGACAGTCGAATTCTCCTTCGCCACTTCCGTACGATCCGAACTCCTTCGTGAAGTTCCCATTTCCGTCAAAGACCTATTGAGAATTGTATATGAAAATATTGACGAGTACGTTGGACACGCTTTTTCATGAATTCTTATATAATATTTTAATAAATAATAACTTGAACTCGATGGTTGGAGCTGTCGGCCACTACGATGGAATTGTCTGGCCCAACTGCGAGGCCTCTTGGCCACGTAAAGCATCCGGCTTCGCTCCCCCGCATCCCAAATTTGAACAGCTGCCGCCGCTTCAGCAGGTACTGACTCCTGGGTAATTAAAAAAAAAAAATTATTAATCACTTCACTTGAATATTGAAATAAAGTCCACTCGATACTTTACCTAGTGGAGGAACCTGCTGCCGCGGGAATAACGGGAGCTGCTGTAGGGGACGTGGGGGAGCCTGACGGGTTTTTTTGATCGTCGTCAGAAGATTCAAAAGAAGTTTGCCCGGTGTGTCTAAGAGGCAGACCCAGAGATAGTCTTCGGGATGCTGCGCTGGCACTGAAATCAAACGAGTGTGCCAATAAATATCAGCAAGATGCTCATGGATAAAACCCACTTGATCTCTGGACAAGTACGTCATACAAAATTAAGAAAAAAAAAAAAAAAAAAAACCATCTG